CCGCTTCCGGGGATGAGAATCCTTTGATCCAATTGGTCTCCCCCTCTTCTGGGCAGGGAGATATGATTGGTTAGCAGGGACTGATGGCCTTCCCACGTTTTGTCTTTCTGGGACTTCTATCCTTGCATGCACGTTTGCAGCTGGTATATGAGATCTCGTCACTTTTTCTAAGTCAGAGAATGAGTCTGGCATATTATTGGCTACTTTATGTAGATCTATAAGTCTACTTACTTCAAACTCTCTGACTGAAGTAGGGGGATCGTGATGAGACACAGTGGGGTCATTCCACACGACTTCACGTCGTTCTTCAGGAACGTTAGTGTGAACGTTCTTTCCTCCCCCTAACGGCGGGAAGACGGTCTCATCAAAGTGACAGTCCGCGAATCGAGCGGTAAAGAGATCGCCTGTCAAGGGTTCTAAATATCGTATTATAGATGGTGATATATAACCAACATAAATGCCCAATCTACGTTGAGGTCCCATCTTGGTCCGTTGTGGCAGAGCAATCGGCACATAAACTGCACACCCAAATGTGCGTAAATGAGAAACGTTTGGTGTACTTCCGGACACCAGCTGTAACGCAAAATATGGTTGGGTTGCAGTGGGCCTCAATCCCAATAACATAGCCGCATGCAATATTGCATAGCCCCAAGCAGAGATTGGAAGTTTGGTGCGCATTACCAAAGTTCGTGCAATCCTCTGTAAATTTTTAATAAATGCCTCTGCAAGGCCATTTTGGGTATGAACATGTGCTACGGGATGTTCTATGTCAATACCTAAGGACATGCAATATTCGTCGAAAAACCGCGACGTAAACTCTGCAGCATTATCTAGTCGAATAGACTTAATGGGATAATCTGGATAGTGTGCTCTCAATCTTATTATTTGAGAGAAGAGTTTAGCATAAGCAGCATTCCTCGTAGACAACAAATCGACCTGTGACCACTTAGTCGAAGCATCAATCATCACCAAAAAATATTTAAAAGGTCCACATGGTGGTGAGATGGGGCCACATATATCTCCTTGGATTCGTTCCAAGAAGCCAAGAGAATCTTTACTAGTTTGTGCATAAGCTGGCATAGGATCAAGTTTTCCAATAGAACAGGGTACACATATCTTATCATTGTGTACAAGATCCTTATTCGTTAGTGGATGCCCAATAGATGTGCTAATAATTCGGCGCATCACGCTTTGACCCGGATGTCCCAGTCGGTCATGCCATAGAAAATATTTGCTCGGATCACTAGACTTCGAGCAATCGACAAGGTGTGCTTCTGGCACTCGAATTCTGGTTCTATATAACCCTATCGAAAGTCCCTCTAATTTTTCCAAGGTACGCTTCTGGCCGTACACGTTAGAGGTGATGCACATATATTCGATCCCCTTTTCATCGGTTGTTTCAACATGATAACCATTGGCTCGAATATCTTTAAAACTCAACAACGTTCTACTGGAACGTGGAGAATAAAGAGCTTCTCTAATGGTCAGAATTGTGCCATGAGGTAACATAATATGGGCATTACCATAACCATCTATTATACTAGATGTGCCTGATATAGTAGTCAAAGAAGTCTTACTAGACATGAAACTAACAAAATATGACTTATCCCTAAGGATAGTGTGCGTTGTCGCACTATCTGCCAGACATTCATCCCCACATGCCATGTCTAGAAAGATAAATAAATCTAATCATATATTCCGCAACAGAAAATACTTTAATAAAATCCAAACAAGATAACTCTACCGAGTACCATAAAAACTGAATTAAAACATAGCCACATAAAATATAGTCCAGAAAATAAAGCACAAACATAATCCAAATACGAAATTGGTTCATAAGCATGACCAAATAAACAACATAATTTAAAACTGATAAACTAGAAACATAAAAGAACATAATGTCTAAGCTCATAAAATAACACTCCAATCATATGCCAAACTGGGTCATTGGGTCAGATGTGCTCAGATTTGGGAGTCGAGCAATGGGCTCCTCATTGAGAACGTCTATCTCAACCAGGTTGGTCTCCGGTGGTGCATTGTTATTTACACCACCAACCATAACGTTCCTCGCACGACAGGTGCGTGACCAATGCCCAGTTCCACCACACATATGACATGTATCTCTATTCTGATTTTGATTCTGATTCGGGGCTCTATTATGCTGCGCACCTCTAGGTCGAGCATTGTTACCTCCTCTTGGCATATTTCCCCTTTGCCCATACTGTGGGGGACCATTAGGTGGCCTATTATAAGGAGCATGTCCGCCCCTATTACATCTTCCTCTCACTCGACGATTGAACCCACGGCCTCTGCCTCCTCCACGATTGTTTCTGTTGACCAAATTTGCTTCTGGCAAAGGTTGAGGATTTGGATTGACCGAATTTGCTTCTGGCAAAGGTCGAGTACCAATTGGTCGAGCCTGGTTGTTCTTCAAAAGAAGATCAAGGTTCTTCTCGGCGAGGAGCAGAACTGTGACCAACTCTGAAAACTGAGTATAGTTCTTGGCTCTATACTGTTGAGACAGTATCATATGTGAGGCAGGGAATGTAGAGTACGTCTTCTCCAGAATTTTAGCATCAGTTAGTTTCTCTCCACGAAACTCCAGGGTGGATTTGATGCGACATACTTCATAGTTATACTCGTTAACGGTTTTGAAGTCCATAAACCGTAAGTGAATCCATTTGTTTCTTGCTTCAGGCAAGAGGATTGTCTTTTGGTGATCAAATCGACTGGCCAGGGCATCCCATAGTATTTGGGGATCCTCAATCGATGAGTAGTCCAAACGGAGGACCTCATCTAAGTGCCTCCTAATCAGAATCATAGCTTCAGCCTTCTGGGCTTCATTAAGCAGATTTTATTTGACAATAGCCATCCTCAGTTTCTTACTAGTGAGATGGATCTTAACATCCATTGTCCAACTCACGTAGTTCTCACCAGATACATTCAAATAGGTGAAATCAAGTTTGCTCAAATGTTCCATCCTATCATACATAGACAAAGTATATATGCGAATCAAATTATTGTGTATTACTTTTATGTCATGAATTTTGCATATGACGTGATACAACCACGTATAGCATATATGACTCGCATAGAATCTACATATATTTAAAAAAATATTTCAAACAGTTCATGATTATTAGGCAAACCGATTGTTTCACTCATACAGAATATTCATATGGATGATTTTATTCACTGGTTAAATAACACTAAATGTCCAAACATATACGCAAAATATTCATAGTGAAATAATTCTACGAGAATATTACATATTACACATCTTGACAAACAGATTGATTCATAAACTTCTTATCTTCATTCACCAACAAAGTACCAATCATATAACAATCTATTGATGAACATACAGTACTCGAAATATCAACCGAGATGTTCAAACAAATATCAAATGTCATCAAATAAATATGCTACACAACTTTTCATGCCAATTTAAATTTATCTAGCATGCATTCATATAAAGAATTTCAAGGGGTTAAGACTTACTTGAAAATTGATAAAATTCAGATACTACAGAGAAGATTTTACGTTCTACGAAAGTAGATCACCGTCTCACAAACGAACCACGCTCACAATTTCTCCAAGTATTCTAGCCCCACGAACAATTGTTCTTCCACGATCACCGCGAGCAATTCGTGCTGATAACGTGTTGTAAATCGCCCTAATGGTATTGCTTTTCGGTTTGATGATTGTGGAAAATAAAGTATAGCAACAATAATAAAGGATAGAGAGAGAATGCAAAGACAAAAATCCGTAGAGAGAAATTAATAAGGGTGTAAAAATGGGGGAGGGAGAATTCCATTATATAGGTGAAAAACCACCGGGAGTTACAAGAGAAGTTACACAAGAGGTTATTCTACCACTAACACATAATGGGAAGACATGGGGTAGGTTAGTGATTTAGTGGGGAGTTGGGTGGTTGTGATACGAAACCCCACACACATATTATTTACAACATTTTATGCATTATTAATTTATATAGTATATGGGGCTTCTTAAAATTTTCGAATGTGTATTATCTTATAAATTTAGCGAATTATTAATTTAGCACGCTGTCCCCGAGTCGGGACCGGGAAAATTTATTATTTAAGCGAGGTTATTAATTTATCGGGTATTAATTTACCGAGGTTCTACTGTATATAGCTTAAATAACAACAAAGAAGGAATGGGTATTGTAAGCCTCTGTTGGTGAGAAGTTGTTGCAAAACACGAAGCCCTAAATTTCTCATTTCAAGTTGGACGGAATTAAACAAAGATTTAAAAATCAAAGACAAAGGGGAACCTGCGACAATCGCGGTCACCGGAAAATGTCAAAACAGATCCTTCGAACAGAAGTTTGGAGCCGGACCCATCTTCTTCTTCGATTCTATTTGCCAAAGTACAAACAATTTTTGGGCGTTTTAAGAAGTTATTGAACGGATTAAACCCTAAAACAAACAACAAATCTAAAAATTGAAAAGACGATGATAGATCAGATTTCTTACCTGGGAGGCTAGGGCTGCATCTGCGAGGGGAAAACAGCTGATTTATTGAGTATATATATCGATTATTTTCGTAATTTAAGAATTAATGAGGGACATTTTCGTCAATTCACATGGGTCAAAAAGTGGGATTATATAAATGATATACTATCAAGTCAAATTTGGGTGGATAATTAATAATTCAATTGATTGATTAAAATAATGGGGCCATTAGTCAAGGAACGAAAATCAACCGAACCAAACATTGTAATCAAGAGTACAATTCATCACATCCCTGCTGATAATGCAAATCAAAGATGCCCTTTAACATAAAAGGAGTATTAGGTCAACGAATTCAATTTCGTCGGAATTCAATTGTAAGCCATTGTACAAGAGTAATTTAAATGAGTAATAATATTAATTTGGTCTTCTTTTTTATTTCGATTTTTCTTTCCTCTCCCTCAAGAATCAAACTATATTTCTTTCTTTTGATGCGTGATAATATACACGTCAGCACGATATAGGAAAGAAATACAAAAAGGCGAATCATAAAATACAGGCTTCCTTAATTGTAGAGAGAGAGAGAATAGATAGAGTCACCTTCTTGAATCACGAGTCCCATATTCCCAACCCCCCAAAAAAAACAAAATCAAGAATCCCTCAACATAACCAAATTAAAATCACACAACAAAAAAAAAAAACACAGAGAGAGAGAGAGAGAGTTAGAGAGAGAAATTGAGATGGGGAAACGAGGACGCAGAAAGAAGATTGTTTCTAGTGAGGATGCTGAGTTCTTCAAAGTGTTTCTTCCAGACCTACATTCTCAACAACTTGTACGTTTTCTTTTTCTTTTTCTTTTTTGCAATTTGATGTAAAAAATTGGTGCTTGTAATTATTTATTATTCAACTTATGGTTGCCCTAAAGGCGGCTGTCTCTCCGGTCCCCCCACACCCACAATCTTTGTCTCTCTGGTTATTGATTCATGCAATTTTCTCTCTGGGTTTTTGTGCTTATATGATTATAAACAATAAAAAAATAAAAAAATAAAAACCCTTCTGATGTTAGCTAATTTTAAATAGTGTGAATTAGTTTTTTTTAAATTTTGTTTAATTGATGGAATGTAGTTGCTTTCCCAATTTGGATCCGGTGCAAAGGGACTGTTTCTGTGGTCCCAATTTATCTTGATGGGGTTTGTTTTTGTTTAAGGTTTGAAATTTTGGCATTAAAATCGAATTCCGAATGAGTGTTTTGTTTTCGGGTGTACTTTGAAATTATCTACGTCTCCACGAAATCCGTTCCGGTTGAGTTCGGTTTCTTGAACTTGATCAATGCTCATTTAAGAATCATCGTATTAAGAAGTATTATTCGTTCATACACTTATTGCTCAATTGGGAATATGGCGCCAAATGCTTGTTTCGTTTTTTTAATTCAGAAGATATTAAACATTATTTATCCGATCGTATTCAATGCTGTTATAGTGTGTGTGTGTGTGTGTGTGTGTGTGTGTGTGTGTGTGTGTGTGTGTGTGTGTGTGTGTGTGTGTGTATAGGAAGTTCAATGATCAAGAAATTCATTAGAATGAAGATACGAAAAGCTATTAGGTAGGCGATCTATAGGAAACTTTGGGGCAATGCAATTCTCTCTCTACTTTTTTATAAAGTTATGATTTTTTTTTTCGTTTCACGTATTTCGAAGCCAAATGAAGTATTAGGTATCATTAGTTGAAAATGCTTTCTCTTTAACAGATGATACCGCCAGATTTCATCACGTACTTCAGCAGAACAATACGAGAAAGGGTCATACTGAAAGACGCGACAGGTGGCAAAATATGGCACGTCTCCGTGGATCAAAATCGAGACGGAGAATTTTTCCTCAAGAACGGATGGCCGAGCTTTGTCAGCCATCACCGCTTGACCCTCGGTGAATTCTTGGTTTTCAAGTACGACAAATGCTATTCGTTTCTCGTTAAAATATACGGTATTAACGGGTGCAAGAGGGATGTTTTCGCCGCCAATCATGACATCATCACCGCACGCGTAAAAGTCGAAGAAGAAAATTACGCTGAAGAAGAGATAAACGCCGCAAAGCAGCAGACTAATTCGGGCAAACGTGCTCGCCCGCCGCGCTACACAGAAACGGAGGTTTCGTTGGGTACTACTAACGTTTAACGAGTTTATTTCAATTGCAATTACCACCCCTATTTTATATCGAATTACTAATAAAGTACCCCATGCTATTTTATTGGCACAAACCCCTCTGATTTTTTTTTTTGTAAAGCAATTAGTACCCCTGTTTAGGGGCTGCGTGCTAAAAAAAATTAATTATGGGGGGAGTTTTGCCAATAAAATAACACGGGGTGGTTTTTTAGTAATTTGATATAACACGAGGGTGCTAATTGCAATAAACCCTTAATTTTAACTTTTATAACATAAAATCCATGGCATTTTGCATCGAGTATCGACACTTAAATGTGCAGAAAATAGCTCCGAGTGTCCGTTTTTTATCTCGAATCTCACTCGTCCAAGCCAATATAATTTGGTGAGTGGTTTCCTATCTCATCGATAGAGAATTATAGATTTTATTATTTTGATCATTCGCCTAAAACGAATTACGTTATGGTTATTGCATCGTTGTTTTACTATAACTAGTCCTCATGTATATTTGTTTGGTCAAGCTCGTGGACTCGCTATTGAAACATCCTTTGCATTATCTTCTTCAATAGTGACTCCACAAACTTGACCAAAAGTCAACTTATTTCCCCAAAATAATTCCGAAAGTGTATCTCCTTCAAATATGATTTGACTGTATGCGACATTAATTTCTTTTTTATTAAATAACAAAGAAATGTCAATTCATTTTTCCAATAACATCAGACATGACTTGGCTGCTACAGTGTTTTATGTTTCCTCTTAAAATATTAATTAAGAAACAGTACTTTCATTTTCAAATTATTTCCCAAAAAACGAAATGAAAATGAGCCCCGAAGCTTTTTCCAAACATTTATATGTAGTTTCTGTTTTCGGAATTAATTGTGGCAAAAAAATGAAATTAATTGGTGATGTTGATGAATTTGAAACAATTGCAGCTTATCCCGGGACTATTGTTCAAGAGGCACAATGTCCATACCGAGCCGGAAATGGTGATGCGTGATGCAAAGGGGAACGAGTGGGATGTACAAATCGGCACCTCAAAGGATGGACGCGTTTATATAGGAAAGGGTTTCTCCCAATTTCGCGTCGACAATAAGTTGGTGCCGCCGAAAGATAGGTGCAAATTCACTTTCGGGGCTGAAAATTCGAGCCGGATTATCCGTGTGGAGGTTTTACGCCATGTACCGCCGCGTAAGAAAAGTAGGTGTTGATTGGATTTTCGGGCAGATTTTACGCGATGGTGTATCGTATATGAAACTAATGTAAGAGGAAAACCAAAATAGTAATTACTAGGGATGGAACTTGTGCAGATGGCATTGGGATTTGTATTTTCTGGAAATTTTCAAATTTTTCGGAAGCCAAAAATTAATTCCGATTCCGCTCTTAAAATTTCGAATATTGGAATGTAAAGACTTGTTCTGTAGTCGGAAAATTTTCAGATCCAAAAATATTTTGGAAGTTAACATCGGATCAAAATCTTGAATTTAATATACATCCCAATTTCATTGCAAAAAAGATTTCAAAAATAATTTTGTTCCATAATCGAAAATATTCAGATCGGAACCACATAATGGGTTATTTATATGCTACACTCGGTGAAGGTTACATTGGGTGAATTTTTAGTGTTGATCTACACACACCATTGTGTGGGTATGGCTGGTTGTGTGCTTATGAATGATAAAGATCAACTCAGTATATTGCACCCGGTGTAGCATAGTATAAACCCGAGATATTAGATGCTACATCTGGCTATTTACACTGAGTGGATTTGAACCGTAGATCTATACATAATCACATACACCCATATGTATGTGTGCTTAGTGAGTAGGTTTTTTAATCAAATCTACGCAAATTCACTCAGTGTAAATAACCAGATGTAGCATCTAATTCCATGCAGAATGTGAGAATTATGTTATAAAAGAAATGAGTAATGAATTGAAAAGAAATCTAGGATGGTGTGAAAATTTGAATAGGATGAGCTGACTGAGCATATGATTCATGCAGCAGCAATTACAAGAAAAAATAAATAAATAATAAACTAAAATAATATACTAATGAGCATCAATCAAAGAAAAATGTTGGGGGTCCTATAATAAAACCAGATCCAGCATAAAAATATAAAGTCTGACGATTTTACACAAAACATCCACATGTGATGCTGCTAAAACAACAGTCCTCAACACCACCCACCATTCACCATTTTGTCCCTTCATTCTTTCTTTTACTATATATATTTGTCCCACCTTCTTTAACAACTCCCCCCTCTCTCTCTCTCACACACACACCCACACTCCCTCTCTCTCACACACACACACTATCAAGAAATCAATGGAGTATTACATGGATGAGAAGTGGAAGATACCGAAAGACGAAAACAGCATCAACCGGTATTCGAATTCGTCTACGAAGATATCGAGGAGCGCTTCGCAGAGGAGCTCGACCAAGAATCCGTTCAATCTATCGAGAAGTTGTTCCACTTCGTCAAAGTCGTCCTCTCTCTCTAGGAGTTGCTCGCAGAAGCGCCCTTCGGAGTTCACGCGCAAGTGCAAGGAGCAGAAATCCAAATTCTACATTGTCAAGCGATGCATCACAATGCTCGTCGGCTGGAAAAAGAATCCGGATTCTTGATCGATGGATCTTTTGCCTTGTTTTCCAATACATCCAAGTTATTCAAAATTGTTAATTATTGCTTGGGAATAATCATTTTGTGTAAGATAGTTGTAGAATTCAAATTCATTGCAGATACAATCCAAAACATGGATCTATTCATTTCTTTATTGTGTGCAATCAATCATTCAATAGATTAAAAACTTTATTTATTTTTTATTTTATTTTTATCATTAATGCAATTTATGGTTTATTATGTCAATTATTTTATGCATAAATAAAAATCAAGATCCAAATAGTTTTAGCCAGGATCTAATTCATAGATAACCTTCACATATATATAGCACAATACAACCAATATTCAATTTACTTCAAACTCACAACATTTTTTTTCGGAATATTCGAATAAACATTTTTACATCAACCTCTCGAATACAAATCACAAATCAGAGGCAATAGTAGTTTGCATCAGCCATTACAAAGTTGACAACAGATAAAGAAACAATATGTCCTAGAGGAATACAAAACGAACTACAAATAAAATAAAATCAAGCTAAAGAAGAAGAAAAAAACGACATCAAGATTGAATTTCGAGCTTTGGTTCGTGACCATGTACCCTCAGGCGGTAGATGCATATGTGAGAAGGACTGCCGTGGTTTGATGTAACATCAAACCTAATAGTGTCGACGAGGCTTTGAGCCGACGGGTCCACTTTAAACGTCTGTGCGTTAGTCTTGTCAAGGTCGTACGTAAACTCGGTTAAGAGCTTCATCTTGTTCATACCGATTTCCAAATCGACTGAATCTGGTCCTTGCATCCATCCAGATACTATGCAGTGTTTTGGAGCACTTGACCTATCATACGCCACGCTCTGTTCCAACACATGGTAATGTTTTTAGTGATAGTTACAAAAAAAAGGGATGGGAGATCAAATTATTACCATCCATCTATACATGTACGAAAAGCGAAAATTACTTAACGCTGCGAAGAAAGTTATTCAAGACTATGAATTCAAAAGGAACAAACCAAATAATACATAATCTCTTGTGGGCTCTTTGTATTCTATAGCACTATGACATTGAATATAATACATGTATGTACACATGTACACATGGCTGAAGAAAGTAACTCGAATCTACTTGGGTGAAAAATACAACTATGCTTATTCGAAGTGTCGGGGTAAGTAAATTAAATGGACTAGTCACTAAAGTTGGCATTGGCATACATCTCTATTTGGATAGAAGGATTTTCATTGGCATTGGCCATTCTTTCTGCCGTTTCATGCAAGGAAAAAAAAATAAGAACACACACAAAAGCAAATGATTTTCTTTTCAAAACCTACTGACAGATATAATTCTTGAACCTAGAATGGTCTGAAACGTGAAAATGCGAATTACCGAGAAACTAAATGGGCTCTAAAGCCAACACTTACTAAATGCTTCTGATAATTGGTAAAATATATAATAGTTACATTTCTACTCTAAAAAACCTAAGAGAGTTTATGTTTTGGAAGTTATCTTAAAAATGGATTTAGATTCTACATAAGCAGCCGGACCCAAATAGAAGTTCATTTGATCAAAGCGAACTACTGAGAAAAAAATTGGCCATTTATTGCTATCTGACACATGTTGAAGATAATAGGAAGCAGTAAAGATATTATCATTTTTTCTATGTTTACGACTTCTTTAGAGGGAACTAATTACTCGAAAGTGTACTCTGCAGACAGAAACAGTTGATGGAGGTTACCATTAGTTATGTACGCATGTCGCCCAATCTTCTTCGAGGCAGAATTAAATCCATTAACCCAACAAGCAAAAAGTTGCTACAAATAACTAACTAATCTAAACATTCAATCAATAGCACGTAAAGTAAAGAGGTTAACCGTCAACTGACAATGCAATGATCGCCCTAAGGTCAAACGAATAATTGTTAATGGCACGACAGACCATTGATCAGGTCACATGGGGCTTACCCCTTCCCTTGAAGCTGCATCGCCTTTTTTTAAGCACTCATAATCATAAAACATTAGACAAGAAAAACATTGATCTTTCCTTTTGTTTTAGCCGTTCATTTGTGTATTTATTTGCCTTTTCATTCCCTTCCTCGAGCACACACATGTATAAAAAGCATCAAAAGTACAGTTAAACCTCTATAAATTAATACAGCCGGGACTAGGGGAATTCTATTAATTTAGCGAATTATTAAATTATCGAGTTAATAATTTAACACGTTTTCACCGAGTCGGAACCAAGCGAAACTATTATTTAATAGAGGTTATTAATTTATCGAGGTTCTACTGTAAAAGCCATGTATAATCAGACGCAAAAGTACAGAGCAAAATCATAAGATGAAAAGGAAGAATTGACCCACAGAAGCTGAAGCCATACTGAGACGCAATCTAATAAAACCAGAGAGTCGAACCCATGCAATATGCCCTTCTCACATTACAATTCACTTCGATAACACAATAAATATACTTACTAGAGACAAAGCACAGTACACAAAACATATCAATCTAACCCCTAATAAGAATCACTTATCCAAGAACACAAAAATAAAAATAATAATATCAGAAATAAAAGATTCGAGAGCATTTACCTTAGCAACATGTTCGAGAGTCACAGCTTCCGGCACAATGGCAGTCCTGAGCTTGATCACAACAAACCCACTTCTCCCTTTAAGAGGAAAGCATTGCCCTGGCTCCCCAAAGCTTGGCATTATCATCTTCTCCGCTGCGAAACTAATCTTGTTTCGATTTCTGAGCCAACTTCCACTCACACTCGTACCATCATGTGGCTCCGAATGCCTCACCACCCTCGCCCCACTCGATACCAGCGCATAATCCGCCATCCCCAATCCATCGGCACTGTGCCTCTCGATTTCCTTTTCGACAATCTGCCTTGCAAAATCCCTTATCTCATCTAAACTAACCTCGCCACCGTCACTTTTACCAGCCTTCTTGAATTCTTCATAGAATTCCGCAAACTCTTCCTTGGAAAGCAGACTCTTGCTCGAAAGCCCATCCATGAACTTCTCGAATGCATCGCTCCTTACGTCCAAAGCCTTCAACTTCAAGTCGGTTTCCTTCCCCTTTGTTTCGATTTTCTCGTCGAACTCCTTCCTCACGGAACTAATCTCATCCCCGAGTTTCTGGTCCATTGCGTTCACCTGAACCTGCATTGCCTTCACCGTGGTTTTGACGAACTTCTCCACTTCCGAAAACTTCCCGTCGAAATCCCCAGAAATTACAGAGAGATTGTCAACGTCGTGGCCTGAGTTCATAACCATCCATCGAATCATCTGCACAAACCCCAATAAAACCACCGCCAACGCTAGATTCTTGGTGATGATGCTGACCACGGTCAGCCAACGTGGCTTCGTTGATTTTCTGGACGATCCGGACTTTTTCGACTGGATCGTCGGCGGCGCCGGGGGGTTTTTCCTCGCATCCCTCAAAATTGCGGCGGCCGCTTCGCTGGCGCTGAGTCTGCCGTGTTTATTTTCGGACTCCGTGACGGCGGCGGCGGCGAAATCTGAACCGCCGTCTTGGGGATTCTTCTCGACGGCTCGGCGGCGAGTGGTGGGCCCTTGATTCCCGGTGATGGAAACTGTAGACGCTGACATTGGAGCTTGAAATCGGAGGGGAATTTTGGTTGATATGATTTTGGAAGTTGAAAAATGGAAAATGAAACCCTAGAAACGAGAGGAAATGCCTAAAATGGAATTGAATTTTCAATTTGGGGGAGAAAAGGTGAAGAGAGAGATTCTTTGGTTAATTTATAGTTCTTTTGAAAAGCCGCTTACTAATTCTCAAGGAGCGGTTCCAAATTCGAATTTTTTATTTTTTATTTTTATTTTTATAGTTCTTGTTTACTCTTTTTATCATAATGGCAAATAGGCCCATGACAAGGGCACTTAATTAAAAGAGGGACATTCAACTTTTTTGTTTTTCAAATAAATCCAGCTCATTCAAACTTATTTGCAAATAAGAAAAATCCATTTATATATACAAAAATTACCCCCAATTCATTAAAACTCAATTCAACTCCAATTTCATGTTTTACACCCCAATTTAGCTCAATTTCATCAATTAACCAATTTTAACCATAATTTCAATTTTGACCCCAATTTTGACCCGCCACCACCGGAGACCGCCGGCCGCCGCCGTTGACCGGCGTTGACTTTTTTATTTTTATTTTTATTTTATTTTTTGAAAAACTTTTTTTTTTCCTGAAATTTTTTTCCGGCCGGTCAACTGCCGTTGACCGCCGAGTCTCCGGCGTTGACTTCTTTTTTTTTTTTTGTTTTTTATAATTATGTTTTTTCTTAAAAAAAATATTTTAATTACTATTACTGTCTTGGCTGCTAAATTACTGTCTCCGGCAGTTATTTAACTGTCGGAGACAGTAATTTAACTATTAATTGACTTTTTTTTTTCTTCAAAAATATTTTAATTAATATTACTGTATTCGTTGCTAAATTACTGTCTCCAGCAGTTATTTAACTGTCGGAGACAGTAATTTAACTGTTAATTGACTTTTTATTCTTAAAAAAATATTTTTAATTAATATTACTGTATTCGTTGCTAAATTACTGTCTCCAGCTGTTATTTAACTGTCGGAGACAGTAATTTAACAGTTAATTGACTTCTTCTTTTTTTAATATTTTTTTAAAAAAAATATTTTAATTAATATTACTGCCATGGCTGCTAAATTACTGTCGCCAACAGTAATTTAACTGTCTTAGACAATAATATTAACAATATTACTGTTCGAGAAAATAATATTCATAATATTACTGTCCCAAATAGTAATATTATTGTCTGAGACAGTAATTTAGTAGTCAAGACAGTAATATTAATTAAAATATTTTTTTTCTAAGTAAAAAAAAATTCAAAAAAAAAAAAAGTCAACGCCGGAGACCGGTGGTTGACCGCCGGTCTCCGACGTTGACTTTTTTTTTTTTTTTGAATTTTTTTTTTCTCAGAAAAAAAAAATATTTTAATTAATATTACTGTTTTGGCTACTAAATTACTGTCTCAGACAGTAATATTACTGTTTGGGACAGTAATATTATGAATATTATTTTCACGAACAGTATTATTATTAATATTATTGTCTAAGACAGTTAAATTACTGTTGGAGACAGTAATTTAGCATCCAAGGCAGTAATATTAATTAAAATATTTTTTTTAAGAAAAAAAATTTATAAAAAAAAAAAAAGTCAATTAACAGTTAAATTACTGTCTCCGACTGTTAAATAACTGCTGGAGACAGTAATTTAGCAACGAATATAGTAATATTAATTAAAAATATTTTTTTTAAGAATAAAAAAGTCAATTAACAGTTAAATTACTGTCTCCAACAGTTAAATAACTGCTGGAGACAGTAATTTAGCAACGAATACAGTAATATTAATTAAAATATTTTTGAAGAAAAAAAAAAGTCAATTAACAGTTAAATTACTGTCTCCGACAGTTAAATAACTGCCGGAGACAGTAATTTAGCAGCCAAGACAGTAATATTAATTAAAATATTTTTTTAAGAAAAAACAAAATTAGAAAAAAAAAAAAAAAAAAGGTCAACGCCGGAGACCGGCGGTCTCCGGTGGTGGCGGGTCAAAATTGAAATTAGGGTTAAAATTGGTTAATTGATGAAATTGGGCTAAATTGGGGTGTAAATCATGAAATTGGAGTTGAATTGGGTTTCAATGAAATGGGGGTAATTTTGGTATATATAAAAGGATTTTCCTTATTTGCAAATAAGTTTGAATGGGCTGGATTTATTTGAAAGACAAAAAAGTTGAATGTCCCTCTTTTAATTAAGTGCCCTTGTCATGGGCCTATTTGCCATTACCCCTATTTTTAAACTATTCATAAGCATAAGCGGTTTTATAAAGGGAATTGTTTTTTGCGGTTTGAAAATTGCTATTTGCAATTTATAAGAAAACCCCCCAAAAAAATACTTTATTTTTCTAAAACCCCAAAACGTCTCAATAAAATCCAACCCCCCCCCCCCCCA